CTTACCCTGAACCCTTGAATCAGATACACTTGGGAACTCAGAATAGGATGCAGATTTTAGAAAGGGGATTCGAGGCAGCAAAATAATCTATTATGATACCCCCCGTGGGGTCGGGCGCAGACTCTATAATCAAACACCGTAAATATTTTTTTTTTTGCAGGGAGAGGTGTTAATAGTCACACTGAGTAGGAGCAAACCAAGACAATAATTAACAGCACGTTAGCTCTGGTCAGAAGTTGATGCCAAGCAAGTTACAAAAACATTTATTTTCATTTCTAGAGATTTTTTGGCTTTGGAACTGGGGGCTCGTAATAAAATCAAGAGGAACCCTGGTGGTACAGCAGTTAAGTGCTCAGCTGCTGACTGAAAGGTTGGTGGTTCAAACCCACCCAGTGGCTCTGCAGGAAAAAGGTCTGCCGATCTGCTCTGGTAAAGATGACAGCCTAGAAAACCCCACGGGGCAATCCTACTGTCACTCACTGTGAGTCGAAAGCCGCTTGACGGCACCCAACAGCAACAGCGAAGTCAAAAGCATCCCTGGGTGATGCAAACCATGAAGCCCTCGACTGCTAGCCGAAAGGCTGCCAGTTCAAACCCGCCCAGAGGTGCTTCAGCAGACAGACCCGGTGATCGCTTCTAAAATGCTGAAAACCCTCTGGAGCAGTTACTCTGTACGCGTGTGGTCACACGTGCGCACTCAACTCAGTAGCAGCTACCAACAACAACAATAAAGTCAATACTCATAGCACATTCCCTATGTGCTGGGCAGTGTTTGAACACATTAATTCATCAAACGTGTGCGCTGCTTGGTAGGCAGTGTCAGCAGCTGCTTACCAGCTTCACGGACGTGAAGGGCAGAGGCACACACTTGCCTGTCTAGCAGCTGCTGGAGCCTGTCCATTTATGTTGTTGCTGTGTGGCGTGGAGTCCACTCGGACTCATAGTGACCCCATGCGACAGACATAAACTGCCCCATAGGGTTTCCTATACTGTAGTCTCACGGAAGCAGACCACCAGGTCTTTCTCCAATAGAGCTGCTGGATGGGTTCAAACCATCAACCTTTGGGTTAGCAGCTGAGAGTCTAACAGTTGCACCACCAGGGCTCCGTCCCCATTTAACAGGTGAGGAAAACAGAGGCAGAGAACTCTGACTGAGGACATCCAAACCCTCAGCTAATTAAGTAATGGGCTTAGGAATGCAACCCGGGTGAATGGACCCAGAACTCTTAGCTACAGGCTGAAAAGAGAGGTGGAGGGACCTGGGGCATTGAGCTGAGGAAGTGGTGCCAACCCCGGCCCAAAGTCAAGCCCTGTACCCCCTCCGCAGCCTTACTTGGACTCGGGGTCATCCTTGGCAGGTCTCTTAGGCAGGTATTTTTTCACCAGGCTCCTATGGGGAGACAGGCAGGCCGGCTGAGCGCCCAACCCTCCAGCCCCTCCGGCTAGCCCCGGGGCCGATGCACCCTTGGAGTCTCACCGGAGCTGCTTTGCGTAAGCCTGCTCCACCTCCGTCCGCTCTTTCACGAACTTCACGTATCTGTCCAGCAGGTCCAGCCCCCACTGCGTGTGGCGCTCGAGCACCTCAAACTGATCCTAGGGGGCGGGAGGGGAGGGGCCAGCGTCAAGACCTTGGGGCCCCAAAGCCAAGGGACAACTAGTGACCCAGGGAATTCCAAGCCTGGGAGCTCCGAGGAGGCGTGGCTTCCAGGCCCCGCCCCGCCCCGGCGCGGGGGGGTGGGCAGGAAACCGGCGGGAACCCCCTCCCCTTCCCGGGAAGGGCCCGAGGAACAGGGGCGGGGCCCCAGCAGCACTACAAGGTCCAGTCTCCAAATGGCCAAGACGGGTGTAGAATGGGCAGGGCCCTTCCCCCTGCCCCGGCTCCCCTAATCCCCCCCAGATTCCGGAAAATCCGGCCGGCCCGGCGTGAGTCAGGGCCAGAGGGGCAGGGTTCCTTCAACTTGGGGGCCCCGGAATGGCAGGGGAGCAGGCCAGGTTCCCCGAATCGCCATGCTTCCCAGGGTTCCCTGAGGGGTGACTCAGTTTCCCCTACTGACTCCACGGCACGTACTAAAGATATTCCAGAGTTTGGGGGTGCAATATAGCTACTCCGGAGCGGCACCCAGGAACCAAAGGATCCTCCGCCCCCAAAGAGGGGAGGGGTCGGAGGTCGGAGCTAGGAGAGAGGGAAATTTCTGGGGCTTCCAAGGCTGGGGTTCGAGGAGGCCAGGTGCTGGCGAAGAAGGATTACGGGCGTCCCCCTCAAGGAGTCCCAAAGCCCCTAGAGGCTACAGAGAGGGCAGTCTGGACTTCTGGGTCCCACGTGGGGGAAGAGTTTGGCCGGAGGGTCCCCTCCCCCAGCCCAGCCGGACAGGCGGGCGGCGGGCAGGGACCCAGGGGCCGTAAAATAAGCCGCCGGCCGGGTCAGGATGCCCAAAATAGGTGACCTCGCCCGGCCGTCCCGGCCTGGTCCCCGGATGTCTTCTGCCCGCCTCACTCTGAACGCGGTGCCTCAGTTTCCCTACGTCGTTCCTGCAAAGTCGCCCTTCGCCCCCAAGAGTCCTGGAGCCAAACTCCAAGAGAACGCGGAGGGCGGGCACCCGGGGGTCGGTGGACCGACTGCACGGAGCCTCTTGCCAAAGCCCAGCGGGGCAGAGGGGGGCTCTTGGACCTTAGACAGGAGGAAGTTAAGGCCAGGACCACCGGACTCACCCACAGCTCGGTGCCCCAATCCATGCTGATCCCGCCGAAGCCGCCGCCGCCGCCCGGTCCCTGCCGCCCGCGCCCGCCGCCGGGAGACTCAGCCCAGGGCGGTGCGCCCGGCCCCGCCCCGCCTCAGCCCCGCCCCTCCCGAATAATCCCCGCCCCTAATGTTCAGTCACGCCTCCGCCCGTGCGGTGGCGTAGCCCAGACACCCTGGGGGCGGGACCCCGAAGGAGGTGGGGCCTAACGGACGCTCCGCCCCCCTTAAAGGAACACGGACACCCAACACCTCCGGACCGACCCCTTGAAGTACCCCCACCCATTTTCCAAATCCCCGGGGCCTCTCTCATCCTATTCCCTCCGCCTCGAACTGTGTCTTCCTTTCCTTTTCCCTTCAGCCATTCCTTAAAGGGCCAAGACACTAAAACCCCAACCCAAGAAGTCCTCCCCACCCCGTCGCAGGGAGAACCTGAGGTCATTTGGCTCTTGGGGGCCGGCCGGGCTCCAGGCGTCTATGCTCGTCCCACTAATGGTCTGGTCCCTCCGGCCACAGGGCGGATGGGAGGACTTCGATCCTGCCCGGGACGCGCCACTGCCAAGGCCGGGTCCATTAGCGCCCCTACCGCATCCTGTCTTCCCTCCCCCAGTCTTCACCGGGAAACTGAGGACGGGTCGTCCTTGGCGCGCTGGGCCCAGGCCTTTCCCCGGCTCCTGGCCAGCTTGCTGGCTGGTGCTTGCACCTCCTCATTTCCCAGGCTCATCCATTAACGCCCATTCAGGTCTTAGTGCCCGTCCTGACCCTAGGATCCCCATTGCACTCTCCTCCAGACGCCTGGGCCCTGGGGGTTGGAAGTCTGTCACCTCCTCCATAAAAATCCGTTCACACCTTATAAATTCCTTTGAGGCCTTGGGATGAAAGGGGAGAAGCCCCAGCGGCACCCAGCCCCATCCTCTCTGGCCTTTGGAGCGTTCTTTGTGACTACAGAGGTGGCAGGAGCCATGCTGGGACTCGGGGACTCCGGGCCCCCCCCGGGACAGGTTACTTTGAGCAGGAGAGACACCTGGGAGCCCAGGAGGATAGTTCTTGGAGCCCACATTGCAACAGATGGCTCTGCTGGGACCTGGCCCCACCTGCTGGTGGCTCCGGGGCTAGAAAGCCTCAGGCTGCAAAAAGGGTTGAGCCTTAAATAGCAGGGGGTCAGGTTGGGTCAGAGTCTCAGCCTGGGGCCTGGACTCAGGGACTCGGTCCAGATCGAGACCGAATTCTAGGCTCCACCCTCGTTAGAGACTCAAACAGGAATTAGGGTTCAACACAAATTCAGCATCACAATTGGGCTGGGGTCTCACACTGCCACTGCAGTGTGAAGCGGAGCAACGCCAGTCGGGAGTCGGAACTCAAACAGTGCCTAAGGCACATGACTGCTCACCAGAAGGCTGGAGGTTCAAGCCCACCAGCCACTCCTCGGAAGGAAGGTTGGGCAATCCTACTTCCATAGTGATACTGCCTCGGAAACCCAAGGAGGGGTCGCTATGAGTCGGGGCCGACTCGACGGCAAACAACAACAACAACAGGGTCTAGTCTGGGGTCAAGACTCTATCCAGGTCAGGGACTCAATTAGAGATTAGAGCTCAGTGTGGGTCAACGGTGAGAAGGGGGTGTTTGGGTTTCAGTCTGAGATCAGCTCTCAGCCGCAATTAAAGGGTTTCAGCCTGGGGTCATAGGTCATCCTAGCGTCAAGATGTATCCTGGGGTCTGATTTAGGCCTCTAAGTAGACCAGGGAAACTAGAAGAACAGGACAGGCCTCGGCCGTTGCGCATGTTTACCAAGAGACAGCTCTGGCAGGCAGTCACTTCCCTGGGGAAAGAAGGGGAAATCTGTCCTTAGGAATACTGGGAAATGTAGTTCTTTTCCTTGCCTTGTTGGGCTGATTGCACCTGCTGCTTTTTGGGAAATGTAGTCCAAGGTGGGCTCGACAGTTACGAGGAATTCCGCTTCTCAGGGCCGGATATCAGCCCCATCATAATTGGTTAAATACACTGTTTATCAAATTACATCCGGTACCTTTCTTCTGGTGATTGGTGGGAGCGAGGGGGCGGAGTTAAGTTGTGTAAGCACTCCCATTCGAAGCTGGTGCAGTCCATTTGTACTCTTATGGGGGCGGCTTTGTGAGTCTGATTGTTGATTGGCTGTATGGGCTGGAAAAGCCGAAAGGGGCGGCTTCATCGTGCGACGATTGGCTTACGGATAGGCGGGCCTGAGGACGTCAGAGGAGGCGTAGAGGAGGCGGTGGCTCCAGAGATGGCAGTGAGCGAGAGGAGGGGGCTCGCCCGCGGGAGTCCCGGAGAGTGGGGGCCGCGGTTCCTTCTGCTCCTGCTGTTGGGCGGTTGCTCCGGACGCATCCACCGGCTGACGCTGACGGTGAGGACTGCCGTGCGGTGGTCCGGGACGGGAGGGGTGCGGCTTTGTCGTGGAGAAGCCCCCAGCTTGGAGTAGTCTCGCCCGTCCTCCCCTGCTCCTTATGCAGGATGGAGCGGCCCGGCGACCCCCGTTTCCAGGCCTGAAATGGTCTAGTCCAATCCCCCCACGGTCCTCCCAGTGGAATTGCCTGGCGGGCCAACCCGGGGTCGTGCACCACCCACTGGGGGGGGCGGGAATTTTCCTCTAGGGACATCACTCCACTGCCCCCCAGCCCTATAAATTCCAGGGGTCACTTTAGAGGCTCATAGGGACCTTGGGGCAGTAGAGGGAGCTGCTAGGGGTTAGAGTGGGGTCTTCTGAGCATTCTTTGGCATCTTGGGGACTCAGTTGAAATCTAAATATTTTTCCAGGACGTGAGGATCAGGCACTCCAAGATGAATAAGTAAGCCCGCCAGGTGGGGTCCATCTAGTGGGGGGACTTGCAGGTACCCCAGAGTTTGTCTTCCTAGACTCTAAGAACAGTGTCCAGAGGGCGTGGGAGAGCCTTGCCTGGCATCAATCCGAGGACACAGTCCCCTCTGTCACCCTTTGTTTCTGTTGTTAGGTGCAACTCAATTGATTTTCGATTCACACGGACGCCATGTGACATAGTAGAACTGTCCCATAGAATTTCCCAGGCTATCATCTCTATATGAAAAGGAGCCCTGGTCACCAGTGATTAAGCCCTTGGCTGCTAACTGAAAGGTCAGCGGTTTGAACCCTCCAGCGGCTCAATGGAAGAAAGATGAGGCAATCTGCTTCCATAAAGATGACAGCCTTGGAAACCCTATGGTTCAGTTCCGCTCTGTTCTCCAGGATGGCTGTGAGTCAGAATCGACTCCACCGTAGTGGGTGTGGTTTGGTGATATTTACAGGAGCTGATTGCCAGGTCTTTCTTCTGCAGGCTTGCTGTGGGTGGGTTTGAACCCAGAATCTTTTCAGTTATCAGCCAGGTGCTTAACCATTGTGCCACCAGGGCTCCTTATCACTCTTTGGACCGGTATTATAGAAAGGGGTGCCAGCTGGGGGCTGAGAGCCTTGGGGTAGCCTCGCGCCAGGACCCTGGAGCTGGGCTGCTGGGCGGGAGAAGTCTGAGCTGCCTCTTCCTCCTTGGTCTCCGGCAGGGGGAGAAGCGAGCGGACATCCAGCTGAACAGCTTTGGATTCTACACCAATGGCTCCCTGGAAGTGGATCTGAGCCTCCTGCGGCTGGGCCAGCAGACGACAGAAGAGAAGACCCCGCTGGTGAGGGGCATGGTCATGTATGCTCCAGAGGCCCCCACTTCTGAGCACACCTCCCAGCTCTGCCACACCCAAGTGACTGTGGGCCAGTCTCTTGGCCCCACTGAGCCTCAGTAATAGGGAGCTAACAGTATCTTATGCGACAAGTGTTAGGCACTGTTCGTGAGAGTTAGGGAGCATACCAATGATCAAGACATCCCAAGTTCTTACAGTCAGAATGAATGGCAATACTAATTGCTGTCAAGTTGCTTCTGGCTCATGGTGACCCCGTGAGTCAGAGTAGAACTCGGTGGCATTGGGGTTTCCAGTGGCTGGTGTTTTTGGAAATAGATCACTAGGCCTTTCTTCCGAGGAGCTTCTGGGTGGACGTGAGCCTCCAGCCTTTCAGTTAGCAGCCAAGTGCACTAACCGTTTGCACCACTCAGGGACTCCAGTCGGAATGAATAGGTAGCATTTATAGTTGTTGTTATGTGCCGTTGAGTCAGACCTGACTCACAGCGACCCCTCCTTGGATTTCCGAGGCGGCATCACTACGGAAGTAGATTGCCCAACCTTCCTTCCGAGGAGTGGCTGGTGGGGTTGAACCGCCAGCCTTCTGGTTAGCAGTCAAGTGCCTTAGGCACTACGCTACCAGAGCTCCCAATTTATTTATAGAGCCCACTAGGTCACCAGGGACCGTGCAGAGCAGTTACCAGTGTCTGCCCCTCCCGCCCCCCACCAAGAGCCACAGCTCAGCGTTGCTATGAGAATTCCCAGAAGCTATTCCACAGGGATGGACACAGGCTCTCTTTGTGACTTGCTGAGAGTCACCCAGACCCCAGTGCCTCTAGTCAGCTCTGACTCCCCGTGACCCCAGCGTGTCAGAGTCGAGCTGTGCCCCGTAGGGCATCCAGTGGCTGATTTTTCAGCACTAGACCACTAGGCCTTTCTTCTGCGGCCCCTGGGTGGACTTGAACTGCCAGCCTTCGGTGAGCAGCCGAGCATGTTCACCGTTTGCACCAGCAGGGACTTAGATCAGGTCTGCTGGATTCTAGAGTCGCCAGAGGTCACCCACGTTTTAAATGAGGGAGAAGGAGGATGAGCTAGGTCCGGAGGACCAGAGAGGGGACTCCTTGAGGAAGTGACATGTGCAGACTGAGCCTTGGGGTCACTCTGGGGGTGCAGAGAGAGCCGTGGATAGGAGCTAAAGGAGGCGAGCTGGGGAGGATGGGTGATTAAAGTCCAGGGGAGAACATAGGACTTGGCACATAGTAGGCACTTGGTAAAGTAGGTGGGCTTTCGTTTCTGTTGCCACTGGCATGGATGGCTCGGGTCTCACCTGGGGTCCCTCACACCCTCTCTTTTTCTTTCCACCTGCCAGGTGGGCTTCAGCCTGACCCGGGTTCAGTCTGGCAACATTCGATCCTACTCTGTGAGTAGAGGGAGTGTGTGGGTGGATGGCTGGGTGGGGTTTGCTGACTCCAGCACCTGGAACCCAAAGACCCTAGCTCTTTCCCAGAGGCAGGAGGAGACCCTCCCTGGTGCCTGTGGGTGTGGAGGGGACCAGGGCTGGGTCCACGGGAAAGGTCATTCGAGCATCTTCTTCCTCCCTAGTCCCAGGACCCCAAAGACTGTCCCCTGCAGAAAAACAGCAGCAACCCCCTGGTCCTTTTTCTCATCAACACCAAGGATCAGCAGTGAGTTGGGGCCCAGGGGCTCACTAAGCACCCATCACCCTCGTTTCCCCACGTGTGGTACCCACGGCTCCCAGAGGTCAGGGAACCGAAAACCAGCTGCAAAGAACCCTCACACCCATTCCCTCTGTCATTTTGCCTCCAAGGCGTCTGATTCTGGGGAGGAGGAAGAAAGAAGAGGGGAGCTCAGGGGTGTTGGGTCTCACAGCAGAAGCCTGGGACACAGAGGGTCATTGTGGGAATAGCAATTCTTATTACTTGTGGAATATTTCATATGCACCAGACTCCTGGGAGTGTTACCTGTATTAAGTCATCTTCTACCGTTACTATCCACATTCTTCAGTTGAGAACACGGAGGCCCCAGAACTAAAATTCGGACTCAGGCAGCCTGGCATCAAGGTCCAGTGATACGATATTGCCTCCCTGTAGATAGCACTTTGTTTTTAAAGAATGTACTTCACTTGAACGAGTGAGTCAACGTAGTGGGAAGTGATAACCTATAGAGGAGCCGGCTCCAGACTGTAGCAGCCATCTTGGTCAGGAGGTCAATGGTCAAGGCTTTCAAGAGATGAAAGTTCATGGTCACTGGTCCTGCTCCCCGGGGAGGGGACCCAGAGGGCCTGAGGGGTCACTGAGTCCTTTGGCACAAGTTGTGCCTGCCCATAGCTGCCTCCTCTGCAGCCCTTGCCTCCCCCAGGGTCCAGGTACTAAAGTATGGGGACCAGAAGAAGTTGTTCATTTCCCCTGGGCTCCTCCCGGAGGTGCTGCCCAACGCAGGGCTCCCAGAGCCAGGACCCTCAGCCACCCCCAAGGTGGACAGCGGTGAGTCATGCTGGCCTTGAGGGTAGGGAGGAGTGACTGGGCAGGGCTGCTCCACGTCTATCCCCATCTTCCTGCTGTCCTTCTATCTGTCCATCTCCAAACTCATTCACGGCCTCGTCTCATCCCACAGGGGCAACAACCACGGTCAACAAGAATGGGCCAGTGCCTTCCACGGTGTCTCAAGGAAGCCAGCAGGTTTTGAGGAACCAGAGTAGGAGGGCGGATGGGGATCCGGATCCAGGAACAGCTGAAGGGTGCTGAATGGAGTCTCTCTGTCCCCTCAGGGCCCCAGCAGGAAAGACAAGGAGCTGGTGCTAGGCCTAGGCCACTGCAACAATTCCTACAACTTTAGTGTGAGTGTCCAGAGGGCCTGCGGCCCTGAACCCCACCCCCACCCCAGTGCAGGGGCGCACAAGCTAAGGCTTCTCCCCCCCCACCCCACCCAGTTCCACGTGGTGATTGGCTCCAGGGCTGAGGAAGGCCAGTACAGCCTCAGCTTCCACAACTGCTACAACGCGATGCCGGGACGGGAACAGCCATTTGACATCACGGTGAGCGGACGGTGCCAGGGCTCCACACCCAGCTCACCAGCTGCCACGAGTCGACTCTGGCTCATGGCGACCCTGTGCGTCAGGGTAGAACAGTGCCCATGGCGTTTTCAGCAGCGGGCATTTTGGAAGTAGATCACCAGGCCTTCCAAGGCGTCTCTGGGTGGACTGGAACCTCCCACCGTTTGGTCAGCCGCAGAGCATGTTGGCGTAAACTGTCTGCACTTCTCGGGGCGCCCACGCTGGCTTGTCACTGGGTGCCATGGAGTCGATTCTGACTCACAGCGCCCCTAGAGGACAGAGTGGAACTGCCCCAGAGGGTTTCCACGGCTGTCAGTCTTCACAGGAGCAGATCAGCAGGTCTTTTCTGCTGAAAAGTGACTGGTAGATTTGAACTGCCACCTTTCAGTTGGCAGCCAAGTGCTTAATCATTGCACCACCAGGGCTGCTGACTCCCAGCTTAGCTCCCTAAAATCCTCCTGGCAACGCTGTGACGTGGACATTTGTTAATACCCATTTCAGAGATGGGAAAACTGAGGCCCAGTTGGAAAAGGGGAGAGCTGTGGACTCACACTCGCAGCTCTCCAAGTCCAGAGCAAGGGCCCTACGACAACGACCACCCACACCCCTCCTAGGTCATGATCCGGGAGAAGAACCCCGAGGGCTTCCTGTCAGCGGCGGAAATCCCCCTCTTCAAGCTCTACATGGTCATGTCCGCCTGCTTCCTGGCCGCCGGCGTCTTCTGGGTGTCGGTCCTCTGCAGGAACACGTAATGCCCTTGCCCTTGGGGGTCCCCACCACCCCTCACCAGGCCCTTCTGACCCACCCCCTTATGCTTCCGTACCCCTCTCTCCCCGACCACCTGGCAGGTACAACGTCTTCAAGATCCACTGGCTCATGGCAGCCCTGGCTTTCACCAAGAGCATCTCCCTCCTCTTCCACAGTGTGAGGGCTGGGCGGGTGCGGGGCAGGGAGGTGGGAGGGGCTTCAGGTCGGAGAAGGAGCGACTAAGCGCCCCTCCCTGTAACAAAGCTCTGCAGAGCTGGGGCTTGGGGGTCCTGTTTGTCCAACTACCCCTGTGTCCATTTCATCATCTGTCCCGGCTCATTGTGGCCACCTGCCCATCTCATCATTTGTCTGTCCTTCCATCTAAGTATATCTGTCCATCACATCAGCTGTGATTGTCCATCCCTCAGTCCAACTGTCTGTCCACTGTCCCAGCCGACTCCATGCCTTGGTCTGACTGTGCACACATTTTCTGCTTTGACCGTCCATCCCTGGTCCAGCTTTCCACCCACTGTTCCGCCGTGACTGCCCATCCCTCAGTCCCACTGCCGTCTTGGTGGTCGTAGCTGTCTGTTTACTGAACTTTGGAACCACCCGCCTGCCGGGGATTGTGCATGTTCTTGTACCGCCACCGTCTACCCCTATTCATCCATCCTTCTGACTGTCCGTCCTCCTGTCCGCCTGTCCCCCTCCAGATTAACTACTACTTCATCAACAGCCAGGGCCACCCCATCGAGGGCCTCGCTGTCATGCACTACATCACACACCTGTGAGTACCCTGCTCTTCGGGCGGGTGCCAGGCAGGGCTGGGCTGGGCTTCTGGGCCTCATCACCCACCCTTGCCCCTCTCAGGCTGAAGGGCGCCCTCCTCTTCATCACCATCGCGCTGATCGGCTCTGGCTGGGCCTTCGTCAAGTATGTCCTGTCGGACAAGGAAAAGAAGATCTTTGGCATTGTGATCCCCCTGCAGGTGCGTGGCGGGGCCCTGGGTGGGCAGACGGATGGACGCACCCCAGGTAGCGCCCACTCACGGCCCTGGCCCCACAGGTCCTGGCCAACGTGGCCTATGTTGTCATCGAGTCCCGTGAGGAGGGTGCCAGCGACTACGGGCTGTGGAAGGAGATCCTGTTCCTGGTGGACCTCATCTGCTGCGGTGCCATCCTCTTCCCTGTTGTCTGGTGAGGCCGTGCGTGGGTGGGCGGGGCTCCCGGGACCCTGCCCGCAGGCATGGAGGGCTCAGTGCTGGCTGGACCCTGTGCTCCCCCAGGTCCATCCGGCACCTGCAGGACGCGTCTGGCACAGATGGGAAGGGTGAGGCCCTGCTCCTGGGGCCTCTGTGCCCCTAGCCCCCTTCCTGCTCCAGGCCCTTCTTTCTGCTCCCTTCCTGGCCTTTCTGCAACCCCTGGCCCTTCTGTCTTCCTGGATATCTCCATCCTACCCCTGGGCTCCTCCATCCATCCTCTCTGCCCCCTGACACCTCTGTCGGCCCCTCTGCCCCTTTGACCTCTCTGGCTGCTTTTTCCTGCCTCTTTTTGCCCCTTGGACAGACCCCCCTCTGTTTCCTAAACATCCCCCTCTAGACTCTGCTCCTGGACACTCTCCCAGATATGCCCCCAGCCCCATCTGGCCTCAGTCTTCATCCCTGACCCCAATCTCTGCCTTCCCCTCAGTGGCAGTGAACCTGGCCAAGCTGAAGCTGTTCCGGCATTACTACGTCATGGTAGGGGTCCTACTTGTGCCTGCTTGGTGTTAGGAGATGGGGGGCAGAGACAATGTCCACCCCAACCCCTCCGTTTACCATCCCTCCTACCCCAATTCTCAGGCCCCCACTCTCCTCCCAGCCCCACAGTCTGGGTGGTCCCATGATCCAGGGAGGCCCACAGTCCAAAAGGTCCCACAGTTGCGGGGGGAATCTCATGATCAGGGGAGGTCCCACGTTTCAGGGGGTGGTGCATTGGTCCTGGTGGCCCCACATTTGCGGGTGATTGGTCCAGGTTCCACAGTCTAGGAGGTCCAACATTGCAGGGCACAGGGTTCTACAGTCCAGGGATTATCCCATAGTTGGTAGGTTGCACAATTGGGGAGTCCCACGATTGGGGGGATATCATTAACGGGTTTCCCACAGTCGGGAGGTCCCGTAGTCCTGGAGGTCCCACAGTCGGGGTCACATAGTCCAGGGGATCCCATGGTGGGGAGTCCCACAGTCAGGGAGTCTGGGTGGCCCTCTGCCCGCAGGTCATCTGTTACATCTACTTCACACGCATCATCGCCATCCTGCTGCGGGTGGCCGTGCCCTTCCAGTGGCAGTGGCTGTACCAGGTGATGGGGAGCCCCTCGGGGGGGCGGGTTGCTGTAGACCGGGGGGTGCCTGACACGCTGCTCGGCCTGCCCCCAGCTGCTGGTGGAGGGCTCCACGCTTGCCTTCTTCGTGCTTACTGGCTACAAGTTCCAGCCTGCGAGGGACAACCTGTACCTGCAGCTGCCCCAGGAGGACGAGGAGGATGTGCAGATGGAGCAAGTGTGAGTGGGGCGCTGGGCGCGGGTGGGCGGGGCCAGGGAAGCTCTGGGGATGGGCTCAGGGCATCTCGGGGCACGTAGGTAGGGCAGGGCTTCTGGGGTGAGGTGGGGATTGGTGGGCCAGGAGGGGTGGTGGGCTGAGGTGGAGGTGGTTGGGGTTGGTGCACCCTTTGGGGCAGGGTGGGGACAGGGTGGGCCTGCCACCCCCTCAGCTCCCAGATGCCCCCTTGCCGTCTGTTCCCAGAATGACAGACTCCGGATTCCGGGAAGGCTTGTCCAAAGTCAACAAAACAGCCAGCAGGCAGGAGGTGTTGTGATGGCCCCGGAGCGGATACCCTCCCCTCACACACCTCCAGTGCATACCCTCCCCTTCCCACACAGCCCCTTCTGGGGTTCCCCAGCAACCCCGTAGGGGAGGAGAAGGGGCCTATGCGGGGCTGGGGGATGCTCCCGGGACTGCCCTCTCCCTGCTCCCTGGACCAGCTCCCAGGGCCCGCTGGGATGCAGACGGAAGCTGCGTCCTCCGCCAAGGGTGGTGCAGGCCCACCCTCACCTGGGACGTCCCCCACTTCCAGCTGTACAATAAATGACTCGTCTGTTTTGCTACCTGCTGTTCCTTGCCTTTCTGGGGGTCAGGATCTATGCCACAGAGGTGATGTTTACCATTCGGAACTTGTATTTGCAGAGGGGAGGGGTTTACACGTTCAGTGAGTAATAATTGAGCAGCGACTGTGTGTCAGGCTATATGCCAGGTGCTAGGGACACAGCTGTGACTGCGACCCCACGGCTCACCATCCTGGGATGAGGGCAGGCAGGCAGTTCTATCTCAAGCCCTGACCCGGCAGGGGAGGTCAGGGAGGCCAAAGGTGAGGGGGAAAACAGTGATTTAAAGACCCCGAGGTGCCTCAGGCTAAGGAGTATAAAGAAGAGTAACAATTAGAACAAAACACTTGTTGAGTTCACACCAGGTCACAGCAACCCAGTGTGTCTCAGTGAAGCTGCACTCCACGGGAGTGTCGGTGGCTGTTTGTTCAGAAGCAGGTCACCAGGCCTTTCTTCCCAAGCACCTCTCAGTGGATTCAGACCAGCCTTTCGGTTAGTGCCAAGTGTTTAACCATTTGTACCACCCAAAACCCAGGAACTCCAATACTGAGAATAACAGTAGCCCTGGTGGCACAATGGTTAAGCACTTGGCTGCTAACCGAAAGGCTGGCAGTTCGAAGTCCCTGCAGCGCCACAGGACAGAGACCTGGTGATCGGCTGCTGTAAAGACTCCAGCCTAGAAAACCCCATGGGGCAGTTCTGCTCTGTCACAAGGGGTCGCCATGAGTCAGAATCATCCCGAAGGTACCTAACAACACTCACCAGCGTGGCTGCTTTGTGCAACAAAGCTGTTCAAAGGCCTCCTTAGGCTTTAACTCAAAAAGCCTATAAGGCACAGAGGCCAAGCAACTTGCTTGAGGTTAGTGGGCTCCAACCTGGTCAGTCCAGTTCCTGAGTTACCCTGAACCACTGACTGCACTGCCCCTCTGCAGCTAGACTCCCTTGGGCCAAACTTCAACCTTTCTACCATCTGCTGTGTGTCCCTGGATAAGTGGCTTAACCTCTCTGCTTCCTTTTGTGTAAATGGAGCCTCAGGCTTGTGTGTCACATAGGATAATGGGTGTCACTTGCTCAGCCCATGGCCAGCAGCACAATCCAAGCTCTCAGGGACCTGCTCTGAGCCTTGAGGGGTGACTGCAAATGACACATATGCAAGTGCCCCTGTGGGCAGGCCCCTAAGACACCCCCCGCAACTGGAGCTTATAGAACCCCTGTGGAAGCTCAGAGAAATATTCCTCATAGCCCTTCAGGCTCTGCCTGGAAGGTGCCCCAGGCATGGGACTTGTAGGGAGCCAGGCTGGGTTTAAGACTTCCTGCAGGCGGAAGCAAGTGTGGCTGGGGCCCAGGGCAATAAATAGCCCAGCCAGACAAAGACGGAAGTGAGAAGGCATTGCAGGCGCCCACGGAAGCTGTTTGACAAGATGGGGATGCCTGGAATAGCCTAGCCCTTGCAAGTCCCACTGCAGGGCTGGCTGCGGACCGTGGAGGCTAGAGTAGCTGGTGGAGCCTGAAGCCGCAGACACACTAGAACTAGGTGCGGGGGCCCAGAGAGTGGAGGAGAGTTTCAGGCAGGGAGGGGCTTTCTGAACAGGGGCTGATGTTTCACTCCATGCAGAGGCTCCCGGAGTCCCTGGTGGTGCAAATGGCTAACATGCTCATCTGCTAACCAGAAAGTTGGAGGTTCGAGTCCACACAAAGATACCTCAGAAGAAAGGCCTGCTGATCAGTTTCCAAAAGGTCAAGCTTGGATACCCCATGGAGCACCGCTCTACTCTAAAGCCTACGACAGCCATTGGTTTGGTTGACACAGCAAAGGGGATTTAGCAGATGGGATTAGGTTAAGAACTGTGAGGAGGAGGATGGTCCTGCATTATCTGGGTGGACCCAATGTATTTACAGGGGCCCTTACAGGAAAGAGGGAGGCAGAAGGGTCAGAGAAGCTGAGCTTGGGGTGGTGTGAGGAAGGGGCCATGAGCCAAGGAAGGCAGGTGGCTTCTGTTGTTTCTGCTTGTTAGGTGCTGGTTAGGCTGGGTTCTCTAGAGAAACACAACCAGTAAAGCTTATATATATGGAGAAAGAGAAATTGGTCTTAGGAAAATGGCTCACACACTTAGAGAAGCTGGCAAGTCAAACGTCAAGCTGGAGGCTTTTTCCGACTCTTGCTGCTGCAGGGGCTGAGGAGCTCAAGGTTGGCGGGCAGTACACTGGCTGTTGACTCCAACGAATGACGAATCCGAGATCTCCAGGCCGAAGGGTGGATAGTTCGCTCACAGACAGTTGTAGGCAGAATCCCGATTCACAGAAGAGTGTCTCTTTTCCCAGGATGTCCGTAAATATACTGGAAGCAGGCCACACCCCTAGGGAAACTCCCTTTCAACAGATTGGCTGCTCAAAACATATACATCTGATCCCATTATTGGAACAATCCACATCACAATTGCTTAAACCACACAGAATTGTGGTCCAGCCAACTATCACAGGTGCTGTCCAGTCACTCCCGACTCAGAGTGCCCCATGCACAACAGAATGAAACCCTGCCCGGTCCTGTGCCAGCCTCACAATCCTTCCATGCTTCAGCCAATCGTTGCACCCACTGTGTCCATCCATTTCGTTGAGTCTTCCCCTTTTTTGCTAACCCTCTACCTTACCAAGCATGATATCCTTCTTCAAGGACTGGCCCCTTCTGACAACATGTCCAAAGTACAAGAGACAAAATATCACCATCTCACTTCTAAGGAGCATTCTGGCTGTACTTTCTCCAAGACAGATTTGTTCATTCTTCTGGCAGCCAGGGCCAATGGCCACAACAGGTAAGTGGGAGAGAGACCCCACGCAGGAAGCTAAGGGAGACTAACCTGTCTGTCAGTTTATCATACTGTGGTGGCTTGCATGTTGTTGTGAGGCTGGAGGCTATGCTATGAGTGTTTCAAATGCCAGCAGGGTTGCCCATGGTAGACGGATTTCAGCGGACTTTCCAGACTGAGACAGACTCGGAAGAAAGAAGAGGCCATCCACTTCTCAAAGAATTGGCCAGTGAAAACCTTATGACTAGTAGTGAAATACTGTCTGATAGACATTAGTGAGCTGCAATGAACTGGTTTTGGCTATTTTGAATCAGACAACCACATGATGTACTATGCCAGGAATGATAAATTGAAGAGGAATGGCATAGCATTCATGTTGTTGTTGTTGTTGTTAGGTGCTGTCGAGTCGTTTCCAACTCATAGCAACCACATGCACAGCAGAATGAAACACTGCCCAATCCCGCACCAGCTCCATGATACATGCCATACTTGAGCCCATCATTGCAGTCACCGTGTCAATCCATCTCGTTGAAGGCCTCCCCCTCTTTCGTCGACCCTCCACCCTACCAAGCATCCTTCTCCAGGGAATGGTCCCTTCTGACAA